TCTCTGAAGAATGAAGATTTTTTTCAGGACACCCTGACAAGATGAATTAAGAGAGTGGACTTCCACGTGTTGGTTCTAATATAATAGTTCACCTTTATATAATGCTTTACAGTTTACAAAGGTACTTTTCTGTGACTGCTGGGCATCAGAGGACTAAAGATGCAAGAGGCATAGGAAAAGGGGCTTTAAAGTTTTTTTCTATAGAAGGAAAGAGTGATGTTTCTCCTGGAACCAAAAACCACAGGCCACATTCCAAAGATGACTGCAGCTCTACTTGCCCATATTCCTGAAGTCAGCAATCCTAGAGATCAGCTTGGCCAATTTACCTTGGAGGATAATGAGGGTGAGGTGGAAGGGAAGGTATCATCTTACTCTTCAATTAAAGCATATTATAAAGTGCTGCTCCATACTGAGCCCACTGGAAAATCCCCAGTAAGTAGTAAAAGCCAAGATTATAACTCTGTCCTGAACCGAGCAGGTTAAGTAACCATCTCTCAGAGAATGTTGTCTGCCTACTCTGACTTCAAAGAACAGCCATTTCATAGTGCTCAGCCATGGTGTGGGCCACTAAGAGAAGCCACAACCAAACCCTAGGAGTTTTAGGGACCCCAAGCTTCTATGTGATGTGGCTTCTGTCATCATGTAGGACAGAGAGAGGCTTTTCTCTCTGGGGTCATTCCCATAGCCTAGACAAGATTAGGCTGGGAGTAAGATGCAGTACAATGAGGTTTTGCGGAGTAGTGGGAGCTGATCGTGGAATAGGTTAATGTCAAAGAATTAAGCAGATATCTTAAGTCATAGAATCCTAGACTATTAGAATAGGAAGAAGTGGGGGATGGGGAAAAAGTCACAGGATCACAGGTTTAGAGCTAGAAAGAATATACTACCAGGTATAAATTATATAGGTGTTATCACTATTATATTGATACCATATTATTATATTGATACCATTGTATACTTAATAACGTAAGTACTGACTGTCTAGAGGCAACGTGGCATAGTGGATAGAAAATTGGACTCAGTGTCAGGAAGACTGTGGGTTCAAGTCCTACCACTGACACATGTTGGCTGCGTGACCCTGGGCAAATTACTTAACCTCTCAGAGCTCTAAGATACCAACCTTCATTGGTAGAGGGAATTTCCTCACCCAAGGGTTTCCTACATTAATGAAATCACAGATCTAGTTCCTATTCCTATCCTTATCCCTGCTACTTATAGTCCCTCAAGGAGTTTACACGCTATTTACATGTATGCTATTGTTACTATCACTCTAACATCCCCCCCACGGTTTTGTACAACAGATAATCAATGAAGATTCCTAGAAAAGCCTTCCTTCGAATGTTTAGCTCATTTAGTTAGCTTCTCCTGTCCTTCACTACTAAACTTCTTGAAAAACTTGTCTTAACTGGATGACTCTACCTTTTCATCAGCCCCTTAAAAGCTTCCACCCCATCACTCTATTAAAATTGCTCTCTTAAAGGTCACCATTGACCTCTGAAAGGTCAAATTGTATGGCCTTTTCTCGATGTTCACCCTTCTTGATCTCTGTAGTATGACATCGTTGACCACCTCCTGCTTAGCTTCAGAGACGACAAACTGTCTGCCGGTTCTCTTCCTACCTCTCTGTTCCGTCTCTTTTTCTTTTCTCATCTTCTTCCTAACTCTTTCATGGGAGTGTTCCCCAAGGGTCTTTGTTCTTGCTTCCTTTCTTTGCCTTTGTCTACTGTTCTGTTTTGGCAATATATTTACCCCCACAGATTCAACTAACTCTACTAATCTACATCAGTACAGCAGTCTTCCTGCTCCAGACTCATAATCTCCAACAGCCTATCGGGCATCCTCACCTGGATAATCCAATGGCAAGTCAATAACAACAAAACCAATAATAACAGCTAGTGTTTATATAGTGATTTAAGGTTTGCAAAGTCCTTTACAGATTATGTCATATAATTAAGTCAATTTCAATGTGTTCAAAACTGAACTTATTTTCCCCACTAAAACTTCTCCTGACTTCACTATTTCTGTCAATGGCACCACTTTCACCCAGTCACTCATGTTTGCCACCTGATTTTTTTTTCCTCTTATCCACTCCCTTACCAAATCCTATCAATTCTTCTATCTCAGTAGAACATTTGTCCCTTCCTATCTAGTACCATCACCACCATCACCCTAGTACCAGCCATCATTACCATCTGCCGAGGCTATTAATTCTTTAAAGGTCTTGCCTTTACACTCTTCCCCAGACTGTTATCTCTGAAGCCAAGCAATTCATTCTGCAAGTGCTTCCAGAATTCTTTGCCATGTATGAATTTGGTCACATCATACAGGCAGTATAGGAGCAGGAAGAGTACTCACTGACTCTGGAGCCAAAGGACTTGGGCTCAGAATTTGCCACAGACTTTAGGCAAGTCAACTAACTTTCCAATGCATCAGCTTGCTCATTTACAAAACAAAGGGATTGGGCTAGATGGTCACTTTGGTCCCTTTCAGCTCAAGACCACTCCATACTGAGCCCACTAGAAAATCTCCAGTAAGTGAATATAATATAAATTCCTCTACAACCTGGCCTTACCCTATCTTTCCAGCCTCATTGTACATCACCTTCTCCTCCCTCACTCTACCACCCAGCCAAATTGACCTTATCTGTTCACATACAGCACTCCATTGGCACAGGCTGTCCTCCGTGCCTGGAATACACTCCCTCCACACCTCTGGGCATGGAATTGCTTCCTCTCTTCAAAATACAGCTGAAGAACTACCTTCTACATGAAGCTTCTCCAGATGTCTCCAATTGAGTGCCCTCTCTTGTATTTATCCTTTATTTGTTCTATAGATATTTACATGTGTACTGATAGCTTTGCTATCAAAACGTAAAGTCCTTTTGCTTAAGGATATTTTTATTCTTGGTACATGTATCCCCAGCACCTAGCACATAGCAAGTACTTCTTGGTTGTTAATTAAAGTCAACAAGCATTTATTAAGCATTGTGCTAAGCTATAAGCACACGATGGCAAAAACGTGGTACCTGGCCTCAAGGAGCTCCCATTCTAACGGGGCAGACAAACAAACAAGCAGTCTCAGAGGGAAGGCACTAGCAGTGGGTGGTACCGGAAAAGGACTCTTGCAGAAAGTAGGATTTGAACTGAGTCTTGAAGAAAAGCAAAGAAGCTAGGAGGCAGAAGCAAGGGACAGTATTTCAGGCATGGAATCAGAGATGAAGTGTCAGGCATGTTCAGAGACCAAGGCCAATGCCTTTGGGTCACAGTACATATAGAAGGAAGACTGGAAAGGTATAAGGGGCCAGGTTGTGAAGGGCTTTAAAAGGTAAGAGAGGAGTTTATATTTGATCCTGAAAGTAATAGGGAGTTTAATGAATGGGGGTGGGGCTTGGGGTGAGACAATCAGAAATACAATTTAGTAAGCTCACTCTGGCAGTTCAGTGGAAGGTGAACTGGAGTAGGGTGAGATTTGCTGCAAGCAGACCAACCAGAAGATTATTGCAATAGTCCTGACTAGAAGTGATGAGGTGAGAGAAGGAGATGTAAATGAGTACAAATAAGATTTAGCAGCAGATTGGATATGTGGAATGAGTGCAAGATAGGTGAGGAGCTTGTGAACCTGGACAACAGAGAACTCAACGGTAATAGGGAAGTTTGAAAGATAGAAGAGTTGGGGGGAAAGATGAGTTCAGTTTGGACATATTGAATTTAAGCTATCTATGGGACATCCAGTTCAAGATGTCTAATAGGCAGCTGGTAATATGAGACTGAAGCTCAGGAGAGAGATTAGGGCTGGATAAATATGTGAGAATCACTTTCATAGAGATAATAATTGAACCCATACGAGGTGATGAGATCCCCATGGGAGACAGAATGTCAAGAATGACTAGGACAGACCCTTTGGGGGCACTCACATTTATATGACATGGATGAGGAACCAGTAAATGACATTGAGTGATGTCAGGTAGAAGAAGGAGGAGAGCAGTGTCCAGAAAAACCCTGAAGGGAAAAAGTTCCGAATGGGTCAAAAATTGCAGATTGTCAACAAAGATGAGGATTGAAAGAAAGCCATTAGATTTGGCATTTAAAAGATCATCAGTAACTTTGGAGAGAACACTTTCAATTAGTGACCGGAGTCAGAAATCAGCTAATAGACGATTTTAGTGTTTAGAGAGGAGAGGAAATGGGAGGCATTGGTTGGAGATAGATCTATGGTCCTCTGATCAAAACCCATCGGTGGCACCCACTTACCTGACAAATGTTCAGAATGCTCTGTCTGGCATTCTAGGCCCTCTAATCTAGTACCTTTCTGTGCTTACCTCATGTTAATCCACCTCATGCACCCCAAACTCCAGCCAAACTGGGTAATTCTCTGTCTTCTTCACCATGCCCCGTACTTGCCCATATGTCTCTTTGCTCAATTGTTTTCCATATCTTTAAAAAGCCAGCATGGAGTCATGAAAACTCTGGATTTAGATTCAGAAACCTGTGTTCAAATCTTAGCTGTCACCTTTGGCAAATCATTTAACCCCTACAAACCTGTTGCTTTCTTTGTAAAATGTTAAGGTTGGATTACATCTTATCTAAGGACCTTTCTAGCTCTAAGTCCTGTGGATGCCCTCCCTCACCCTCTTCAAGTGTTGAAGATCTACTTATTATATAGAACCCATTCTAATGCTTCCCTTACCAGGAAGCCTTCCTTGTTCCCCACTTTGTGGTTAGTAACAATTTTTTCTTCTTAAGAATCACAGACAATATTTTATTTTACGTTCTCTGATGCAATTTTCATGGAATGTTGTGCATTTTCGTCATTTGTGCATGATCTACACGAGGGCAAACAATCTGATTTAACTACCTGTTTTACCTCTCCAGCATCCAACAGTACTTTGTACACAGTAGGTACTAAATGATAGTGCAGTTAATTAGGATGAATGAAAGATGGAAAATTTACAACCCTCCTCTCATTTTCTGCTTTCCAGATTTGGAAAGAACCAGTAAAACTGAGATTTTAGATTATAAATTTATTTCTCACTTAAATTTCCAAAGAATCAACATAGTCCTGGATATGGCATGGGTGGGAATCTTTAAGAGGCCTCTTTAGCACATCTCTCCCACCTCATCCCCTCCCCACCCCCCACCCCCCATTAAGCAGTGGATTCTAACACAGTACCTGCTTAATAAACATTGGCTAATTTGAATTGAATTGGCTGTTCTGAGTTGTCTTCTCTCTAGGAGAACCCTCCTTATGTTCAGATCTTCAGTTTCTTAGCTCCTCACTGTCATACTGAGTCCTTCCTCAGCCGAGTTCTCTGGGTGTCTCAGCCATCAGTGGGGACCTGCTTCTGCCTTCTTTGCAGCTCTTCCAACTTGTGCTTCTGGTACTGGTTCATGCACTCCCTGAAGGCCTTGACTTGGTCCTGGCATTTCCTCCAGTCTTGGTGCTCAGCCATACACTCCTGCACAGCATGGTGAGAGGCCATGCAACCTGTGCGTGAGATCATCTGATCCACGGGGTCCTCACTATCTTCATCTGCAGCTGGTTGAGAACGTATCCAGTTGTGACCCCGAGGGGCAGCAGAGGACATCTTGCTGAGTGAGCCTTGGATAAGGCAGAAATGTATGGCTGTGGACTGTTCAAGCTGGAAAGGACCTTAGGATTCAGAACACAGAATGTTAGAGATGGGTGAGTTGTGAGGCTCATACAGAGAAAGAGACCCAAGACCACTGAGTGAAATCAGTGGCTGAGCCAGGCCCCTGACTTCCAACCCAGAGCTTTTTCTATTATGCTGATCCCTGGTACTATCTGTACTATTCCTATAGGTACTTTATTATCTAATGTAACTTGACTGTTTCACTTACTGTCTGGATTGAAAGCATTCTCCAAGTGGAAATAACAATAATTCATATTCATAAAGCACTTCAAATTTGCCAAGTCCCATGTTATCTCAAAACAGTGCCATGAGATGGGTAAGGAATGGATTCTTATCCCCATTTTACAGGGGAGGAAACTCAGGTTTAGAGAAGTAACTTGGGGGGCAGCTAGGTGGCGCAGGATAGAGCACTGGCCCTGAACTCAGGAGGACCTGAGTTCAAATCCAGCCTCAGACCAAACACTTGACACATACTAGCTGTGTGACCCTGGGCAAGTCACTTAACCCCAACTGCCTGCAAAAAAAAAAATAACTCGTTCAAAGTTGCAAATAAATTAAGCGATAGAACCAAGTCAAAAACCCAGATTTTTGACTGAATTCAAATCTGTCCTCATTCCACAGTGCTTCTCAGTCTTGGACTGGAACTCAGGAGACCTAGGATTGAGTCCCAGTTCCTCCTTCTGCATCTGTACTGACTGCTCTGCAGACTTCAATACTTCTCCTAGATCCTGGGAACTGGGTTTCATTACCTGATTTCAATACAATTGATTTCCTTTGTAATTCCATTTTATTTTATGCATTAAAAAGATAGGGATACACAGGCTTCAATAGACCATCCATGACCCTGGTCTGGATCCTCTTCTCTCATGGCTTTTAGGATAGTTTTCTCTTCTTGGTGCTCCTATCTCTCTAATCACTCCTCAGTCCCTTCCCCTGAAGAGATATTTTATGGTCCTATTCTTGCCTCCTAAATGTGGTAGGCTCCATCCTTGGCCCTTTTCTTCCCCCTGGTGATCCCTGCTCCTATAGGTTCAATTATTTTTTTCTATGCATATAATTCTCAAATTGATACATCCGGCCCTAATCTATCCCTTCACCTACAACTCTTCTGCATTTCCAGGTACCTGCTGGATATTCATTAGATGTCCTACCAATATGTCAAACAACACATCCAAGACGGAACTCATTATTTTCCTTTGTAAACCTGCCTATCCTCCCAGTTTCTACCTCTTGATACTACACCATTTTCCTAGTCAGGTTCCAATATGGAGTGTTATCTTCGAGTTCCTTCTCCCTCACCTCCAATCAGCTGCTAACTCCTGTAGCACATCCCTCACAAGTTTTGCATTTGTCCACTTCTGTCCACTCTCCTGGTTTTGGCTCTCATCATCTTTTACCGAGATCATCATAGCAGTTTGCTAAATGGTCTCCTGGCTTCTAGTCTCTCTCTCTCTCTTTTTTCTAATTCATCTTTCGTGTACTGCCAAAATGAACTTCCTGAGACACAAGTCTGATCATGTTAATTTGCTGTTAAAAATTACTTTCATGACTCCTTATTTCCTCTAGAAGAAAATACAAACTCCTTTGCCTGGCATTTAAGGCCCTCTACAATCTGGCTCCAATGTACCTTTCCAACATTACTGGATGTTCCTCCCCTTTATACTCTATGTTCCGGTCAAACTAAATCAATAGCTGTTTTGCCCTTCTTTGTAGGGCAAAGCCTAGCACAATAGCAGGCACGCAGTAAACCTTTAATTAATGCTTGTTGCTAGACTGATCTCAAATCTGCTTTCTCCTGCCCCGGTACTTAAATAGTGTTCTCTGCATGGAACACGGTCTCCAACTCTTGCCATTATGAGGCAGCTAGGTGGCACAGTAGAGAGAGTGGCAGGCCTGAAGTCAGGAAGACTGAGTTCAATTCTGACCTGACAAACTTAACAATTACTTGACTTCTGTATGCCTCAGTATCCTCCACTGTAAAATGTGGCTAATAATAGCAATCACCTCCCAGGGATGTTGTGAAGCTCATGAGATAACATTGTAAAATGCTTAGCATGGTACCTGGCATATAGTAGGCACATAATAAATGCTTGCTCCCTTCCCTTTCTTTCCCCACTCAGAATCTTTCCCTTTCTACAAAGCTCAGCTTAGGTGCCATTTCTTCCAAATAGCCTTCCTCAACCTCAAAACTCCCTTTTCAAAAACCACTGTATAAGTTGTCATTCCCCTCTATCATACCCCCAAATTATTCATTCCTTGAGAGACTGGACTGTCATTTTTCATTTTTGTGCCCTCCACACTTGGCACTATTTCCTTTGCCCATAGTAAATGCTCAATATTTTTACTGAGTTGAGGCACCTTCCCTGGGCCTGTCTCCCCTTCAGCAAACTGAGGTGACTGGCCTAAATGGGTTCATCTAGCTCTGGTGTTCTAGCTCCATTAGGCATCTAGTGCAACCTATTTCTCAAGGCAAATGTTCCCCCCACAGTTTCATTCACAGGCAGTCATTCATTTTCTGCTGGAACACTTCCCATTGCCCGGGAATCCAGGGCAGCCTGTTCCACTGTAAGGTGGCTCCGATTTGAGGACTTGAGAGAGAAAAGCTGCCTCCCCTTAAGTTCCACACATTGATCCTGGTTCTGTTCCCTTTGTCCTAGGACGACTTTTGAGTAGGCTTCTCTGTATCTGCCAGGGATGCTACTTTATTATTATTATTATTATTATAGAAAATATGGGCACTTTACAAACACTATTATATTTGATTCTCAAAACAACCCTGGGAAGTAGGTGCTATTCATATCCCTATTTTACAGAAGAGGAAACTGGGGCAAACAGGAGGTGAAATGACCTGCCCAGGGTCACCCAGACAGTAGGCTGGATTTGAGCTCCTGGGGTCTTCCTGACTCCAGGCCGTGCTCTATCAATCCACCGTGCTACCATGCTGCCTCCCGACTCGAAGGAGTGGCAGGAAGAACCCTAGGCTGGAAGCCGGGAACCCTGGGTTCTAGTTACTGCTCAGAGCCTTAGACCCTCGAACAAGTGACTCACCCTCTGATTTTACCCGTCTCCTCTGTAAAGTGAGGTTCGGCAAGCATTTATTAAGCGCGTGCTTTGTGCCAGGCACTGTGCGCTCTAAGCTGAGGCCAGAGTTTCCAACGGGGACAATAGGGAGAGGAGATGGTCTCTATAACTTGTGAGGGCCTTCTCAAGGTCTCATTGGGACAATGGGGAGAGAAAATGGTGTCGATGACTTAGCCCCGGCTGGGGGGAGGTTTCCTGGACGAGGTGGGCCCCAACGAGGATCAGCTATGTTCCGCACACCGCCCCCCCTCTTCCCTCCCCCACCGGGTTCCACAGAATGTCACCCGCACTCTCCCCGCTCCCCCGGTTCCAAGCAACACGGCGCGCAGGCGCTTACCCACTAAGCGAGAACTGACGAAGAGAGCGGGCTCGCTCCCGCACCTACGCCCTCCGTGCGCATTCCCGCGCCTTCCCCTTACTCACCGCCTTCCTAGGCCGGATTCCAAGTGCCCGCGAGCCCGCGGAACTCGCGCCTGAGCTGCTCTACCATTGGCTGATTTCCGGCCTTTGCCCCGCCCCTGTCCACCATTTCCCACCCCTTTCCCTTCTTCCTTTTCTCCCCTCTTCCTTCCTTCCTTCCCTCCTCCTTTACGCCTCTTCCCTTCTCTTCCTTTTCCCCTCCTCCTGTCCCCCCCTTCTTCCGGCCGGCTCATCCGCCGGGATCTCCCTTTGAATTTCCGCATCCGGCTTGTTGAGGCTCCACTTCCGGCGAAGAAGGGAAGAAAGGGAAAGGGGCGGGGACAAGATGGCGGCGCCTATGAGGATTCAGAGCGACTGGGCCAAAGCTCTCAGGTGATTTCCCCTCCCGGGCAGGCTCCGCCTTTGCCGAGGGACAGGCCCTACCCTGATTTGTCCAGAAGACTGGGAGTAGAGGTCTGGCGGGACCTGGAGGGGAGAGGGTGGGGTTGTGAGTGTGGAAGCCCACGCTTGCAATTCTCTTCCACCCCACCAGCTTTTACGGAGCGCCCACGCGGGCCATGGGCTGGGCGGGGTCCTGGGGAGACTGCACTCACTCAGGCCTGACTCACAAGACCAGGCCAGGCCTGTGTAGTTAGAGCAGAGGCGAGGCCCAGCAACCAGCTAGGGTTTTCTAGGTCATGCCAGGCTAAGCTCAAGTCGGTTCCTGACAGCTTTACTATAATAGGTAGATTAGGGGAAAGTTGTAGACAGTATTCTTGAATTTCAGCGAAGTATTTGACAGGGTCGCGTTGAGAGGCAGTGGTGGTTCAGTGGCTTTGGAGTCCGAACCAAGATTTTAATTATGGCCCTACAGCTTATTGTTACTGTTATTAAGGACAGATGAAGATTTAATTTTTATTAATATCTTTTATATTACCCTTAGTTTCCAAATATGTACCCACACCCCCTTTCTTCCTACTGAGCCATCCCTTGTAACAAAGATTAAAAAAGAAAGGGGAAAAAAGATCGACAGAACTCATCAATCAGGTTTGACTGGGTGTAACAGTTCTCTGCACATTATTAGGTGTAAGATCCTAAGCCTTTTTATCTCCCTGAATCCCAATTTACGTCTCCATCAAATGGAGATGTACTTGTACTCTTTCTTATAGAGTTGTGAAGAATGTGCTTGTATAAACCATTTTGTGAATTCATTCACAAGGCACAATAAAATTTTGATTGATTCAGTTGATTAATCAGTCAGCACATCTATTCTGTGCCAGGTGCTGAGGATACAAAGACAAAACTGAAGCCACTCTTTCACCCAAGGAACTTAAAATTCTGTTCAGTAAAGACCACAGTTCATTTGTAAAAGACTTAGGAATTTTGGTTTATAAGTTCAATGTGATTTAGCAATGGCAGCCAAAAATGCTAAGACAATCTTAGACCTTGTAAATAAGAAGCACGATGTCTAGTTTGATGGAGGGACGTGAGAGTCTTGTCCTGTGCCCAGGTCATTATGCCCAAGTATTGTGTTTAGTTCTGGGTACTACACTGTACGAGCAATTTTGATAAGCTGTGTATCCGGCAAAGAGGAGGGTGATCAGGATGGCCAGAGACTTGGTGACCAAGCCATTCAAGGACTGGTTGAAAGAACCTGGCAGTCAACCAATATTTATTAACTGTCAGTTACATGTGAAGTGCTAGGCATACAAAGACAACCCTGAGACAGAGATGGCCTGCATGTGTGTATATACGTAGGGATGGAGAACTCCGAAATCTAGAACTAGAACTCTGAAAGTTGGCATGAGGAACTCCTGATGAGGAGACTCCAGTGCAGGTCAGCACTTTTTCTGCCATTTACGGTTTTAGAGAGCTGTCTAGAGCACTGGGAGGTTAAGTGACTCGCCCTGGGTCACAGAGGCAGCATGTGCCAGAGGTGAGTCTTGAATGCAGGCCTTCCTGGCTCAGAGGCTGGCTCTTTAGCCACTACAGCAGACGTGTCAGACATGCACAACGTTCCCTCGTGTGGCTGGAACCAGATTAAAATGTAATAGGGAAATAGTTAACAAAATAAATGAAAATACAATAAAATAGAGATAATATTAATGTATGAGTTTCTAAGTTATGTAGCCTGAAGGGATCCTTATATGGTTAAATGGTCCTGTTTCTGTTTGAGTTTGACACCCCTGCACCACATAACAGCTGCATCTCTTCACATGTGTAGGTATATACAAATATATATAAAGTAACCTTTGAGAAGAGTGCCTAGCAGCTGCAGGGGCCAAGAAGGGCCGAATCAGAGATGGTGCCTCTTTTTGTATCCCCAGCACTTAGCACAGTGTCTGGCACATAGTGGGCATTACGTAAATGTTGATTGATAGGCATGGGGCACAGCCAGTGCAGAGGCGAAGATATAGAATACGGAGTGTCCTGTGTGAGGAAAAGAAAAAAGTCAGTTTGGCTGGACTGTTGAATGTGGAAGGCCTGGAAATTTAGGCCAGAAATGAGAAATTTATTGGTTGGGGTAGCGGCTTGTGCAGACTAGTCCTTTAGGAGAATCACCATGTGGAGGCAGGATTGGAGTGGAGAGAGACTTGAGGCTGAGAGAGCAAGTAGGAGGCAGTTGCCGTAGTTCAAGTGAAATGATGAGGGCCTGACCAAGGTTGTTGGGTGTATGAGTGGAGAGATGGAGATAGATGAAAGGTGTTGTGGAGGTAGATCTGTAGGACTTGACAAACTGATTGGATTGTGTGGGGTAAGAGAGTGAGGAGTCAGGAATAATGCTAAGCTTTTGAATCTCTTTGTTTAGCTTAGATAAGAATTAGTTAAGGATTGTTCTCTTGAGGAATTTGAAGGGTCTTTAAAGTCCTTAAACAGGGCTTAGATTTGTTTTGTTTAGTTTTGAAGTCCAGTATATGTTTTTAAGCTGTGTGTGAATAGGGTTTTTCTTTTTTCCATAGTTATCCAGTTAATAAGACAGTTCCCTTCTGAGAAAGTGAACTCATCGTCAAGAAGAGGTTAGATGACTCTTTCTCTGTAGTACTGTAGAGGGGATTCAATTTGATTATACTCTCTACTAGGCTGTATGGGCTATACAGAGATGAAATGAGGTATTATCTCTACTGTCAGGAAGCTTTTTGTGTAGTAACTGGAGATAAGATTGACTCAAATAACTAACATAAATTAGAGTATGATGATATATGACAGGTATAATTTACTCTTAAGATATCTGAGGATAGGACATAATCACATCTTCCTGGATGAAAATCAGGAAATCTTTCTTTGAGATTCTATGATTCTTCCACCTTTTCACCTGATATTGCACCCCCTTAATACTAAGCTAATTAGGCTATCATGTCTCTTTACAGGAGGAATGAAGGAGAAGCCTGGCTGAGTTGTCACCCCCCAGGTAATGCCAGTGAATCTTCTCAGCATCACTCTTTCCTCAAATTGCAAGATATTCTAATCCCCAAATGTTAAGTTGTTAAGTTAAATGTTAAATGTAAATCCTTACTTAACTCCCCCCAGAACCCCTAATGAACTTCTCTTCCTCGTGTTGTTATTGAATTCCTCAGAGGTTCCCCAGCTGTCTTTCACTACCTGTGTTACATTGATGGTATCCATCTGGACATCTTGCGACATCCCAAGACTGTCTTGCCTTTTCAAAGCCACTAGCTGATTCAAGGAGATATTACTTGAGCTTTTTAATCAACCCATAAGCTTTATTTTTCTTTTTAAAAACTGTGTGGTGATGCTTTTTTTTTAAAATCACTTACATCCTAGTAACCTCTCTAACCACCAAAGTAGAATCTTTCTTTGTAACAAAGTGAAATAGTTAAGCAAAAACAAACTTATCACAGTGATGTCTGATAATGTGTGCTTTATTTCTGTATCCCTTGGCCCTTTCCTTTCTATCGACAAAAAAGCTCATATGTTTTACATAGTCCTATGACTTCAACTATAGCCTTTTTAGTGTGATCTCCAAATCTGTATTTCTAGTTCTCATCATTCTCTGCAGCTCCAGTGTCAAATTGCCAACTGCCTTTTGGATAGTTCCATTTGAATGTCTTGAGGTCATTGTCTTGAGCTCATCATATCTAAAATTTAGCTCTTCATATTTCTATCTTTCCTGGCTTTCTGTTTCCATTAATAGTATCACCATTCTTCTAGAATTTCTGGGGCTTGAAAAATGATTTCCCCAAAGTCATACCTAAATGTCTGAGCTGGCAATTAAACCTATGTCTTCCCATTACACACCTAGTGCTATTTCCATTGAATCATGCTGCCTTTTAATAAATGTTGAATGAACTGTCTCTTACATCTATCCTCATCTTTCCATGCCAGTTAGAATCTTTGACCTCCTATTCTTGTGCCTTTGAACCCCATATCCTGCCTGTCTTGCAGGACAAATCCTTCTCTGCCTTTCCAGATGTCAAGATTGGACTTTCAGGGTCAAACATGCTCAATCCTAATCTTTTGAGAAATCTTTTATTTATTTTGTGTTGTAGGGAAACCAACTTTATATGGGAGATTAATTTGCCAGGGAGTTGACTCCAGTGGAATCCCAGAGATCACAGCTTCAGAAGGATTTGTTGTGAATGAAATTACTAAGGTAGGCTTTTGCTCCATCTAATACATATGACGTCTTTGATTTCAATCCTTATGTCTATACTGCTCTCAGGTTATTGCATTTGTTATATCTGCACCATAACCAGGTGGTTTCACAAGTTATTCTTCATTTATTTGAATAATTTTATTGTTTTTTTTTTCTTCTGTGGTCATGTATCCCTTTAGATTTTGTTAGAATAATCAGATCTCATTTAGAATCAGTAATGAGTGTGGGGTGGAGAATGAACCTTTTTTTCATTATTAGTTTTTGCAGCTGTTGGGTGAATAGACTGATTATTGGAAAAGCCCTCAGATGAAGCCATGCGTTCTGTGGTTTGGTTGGTCTTGAGTGAACTTGGAGACCAGAAACTAGGGTTCAGTCTCTGTTCTGCTGCCATCTTGGATGGACTTGGATAAGTCCTTTCACCCATCTACACCTCAGTTTCTATAAAGTTAGATGATTCTAAAGTCTTTTTCAGTGCTGATATTCTGATCTTATTCATGTTCAGAGAATCAAAGCACCAAAAAGATCAGAATAGACAAAAGAAGAGCAAAGTCCCCTTAGGCTGTAGTATACTGTGTGTCTGCTTGGCATGAATCCATTTTAAAGGCAAGCTGCTGGTTCCACTGTCTTTGCATTTTGGGAGAGGGGCCTAGCCTTTGCTACATCCTGAGTCCTGTATTCTTACTTCACCTGCAGTCACTTGGAAGGATAGATGGGTTTCCAGTATAGCAGATAGCCCTGCATGTGATGAGGATAATGGTGGTGGGAGGGAAGAGGAAGATGAATGGACAAGTGTGTCAGGACCTTCCCACCTCCTGGCTCTGCCATGCCTGACCAGTGTCTGGCAAGGAAGAGTAGATGAATTAGGAAGCTGTTGTCCCATAGCTCTCCTTTTTTATAAGCAGATTCATAGAAGAATCCGTCTACACCCCCTTCCCTCCTTATTTGCTCCTGTTACTCACTTCTCCCCTTCTAATCCCTGTGCATTCTGGCTTCTGACCTTGCTAAACTTAAATGAATTATAGATGTTGTTTCCCCTGACAGAATAGAAGTTGTTTGAGGGCAAGGACTGTTTTGTTTTTGCACTTGTATCTCTAGTACAGTTCACAGTACCTGGCACGCAGGAGATTTTTAATGCTTGATTAATTGCCAAGGACATCTTAATTGCTAAATTCTTTTCTTAATTGCTAAGTTGCTTTTCAATTTTCATTTTTCTTAACCTCTACAACTTTCCACATAGACCACTGTCTCTTTTTTAAATATTCCCTCCTTCTCCAGCTTCTCTGACACTACTTTCTTCTTGTTTCTTTTCTCATATCTATATCTAACCATTTCTTTTTAGTCCCCTTTTCTGAATGGTTCAGCGTGTTCTACCCTCTAACACAGATGGTCGAAATATTCTGTCTTCTCCCCTCTTCTCTCTCTCTTTCTTTCTTTCTGATTAAACCTGCCTGGGAAGTTTATGGAGTATTTGATGGGGAGCTTCTCCTGCTGATCTAGATTGGCACTTTCTCTTTAACTTGCAGGCTTAAAGGGATACCTGGGGCATCAAGAGGAAAAATGACTTACCCAGGACCATACAGTCGGGATGTGGCAGGAGCAGAACTTGAATCCAGATCTTCCTGAATCCAAGACCGACTATCCACTGTGTCTTACTGCCACTCTTCACTTTCGACTCCCTCTTCGAAGATGCCTTCTAGATCCACCTTGTTATAGCCCACATCTCTCCTAAGATCCAGTATCACATTTTACTAGATTTCTGTTAGGCAGTTTCAACTAGGTGCACTGTAGGCATCTTAAATTCAATTTGTCCAAAAAAGGAATTTGTTATTTTCCCATCCTAAATCTCTCTCTCCTCCAGACTTCCCTTCCCACCATCCTTCCAGGCATCCAGGTTTATAATCTTGAGTTGTCCTCACCTCATCTTTCTTCCCCTTCCCCATTCCCCCATATCCAGTCAGATGACAAGTCTTGCCAATTTTACCTCCACAACATTCCATTATGTAAAGAAAATGTAATAAATCTTTTGAAGCACAAAAAAAGACCCCAAAATACTACTGTGATTCAGGCCTTCATCATTTCTAGATGAGCTCTGAGGACCCTTCCAGTGTTAAATCCCGTGACCTTTAATAACATCATTTTGCTTTACAATGATGAAAAGAAGATGGGGATGCTAGGACTTTCATCCAGCAGCATTATTGGGTATAGGCCAAGCTTGTAGAGAGTTTTGGAAAATACTCATTGAAAATTTTATAATATAACGAGCTGCACAATTTCCTTTAGCTGTTCAAGTTTTTATCTGATGCGTTTTCTCTGATGTCAGGATATACTTGAAGCAACTTAATGAAGTAGGTCAGTAGTGTTAGAATTTCTATTTTTGGTTTTCTCCAAAGTTATTAATTTCAGTCACATTCATAGTTACTTTTAGAGCCCTGCCCCTGGGTTTTATAGTGTCAGTCGTCTTGCTTAGGCCTTTGTAAATGAAGGGAAATGGGGGAAAGGGGGCAAGGATAATGATTTGAGATCTGTGTGGGGCTTTAAGTTTTATAAACTCCCTTGAACAGGGAGAGGCACTGGGGATCAACCTGAGGGGAGAAGGCCAGGGACAGAGGTGAAAAGAAGCTCAGAGTAGAAGGACAGTTGAAGGGGATGATGAGCCCAGGAAGGGGTCAGGTAAGAATTAGTACATCTAAGAAAAAGATTAGGAAAGGCCTGGAGCAGGGGAGCAGATAAGGAAGTCTTATGGGAGGGTCATTGCTTTTGCCCAGACTAGCCTCCAAGTTTGAAAGAAACTTTCCTTCTGCCACCAGCCTTCCCACTTCCCTGCAAATCCATAACTATTGAAACTCCTTCCTTCCTCCAAGGCCCAGCCCTGGACCACCTTCTCTGGGAAATCTTCCTCCAGCTGAATAGTAATCCTCAGATTTCTTACACATTTTGTTTGGACCTCTCCTTTGCAATTGTGGTATTTAGATCTAGTTTGGACCTAAGAGATATGATTTCATCCAACCTGCTCATTTTGCAGATGAAGACACAAAAATACAAAGAGGTAAAGGGACTTGCTCATGGTAACACTGAAGTCCTAAATAGCAAAGCTAGGATTTGAACATACACTCTCTGACTCAGGCCACATCCTGGCAGGATCTTGGTTATTTATATATATGTCGTTCTCAGCCCCCCATCCCCCTATCTCTCCTCAAGTCACCTGTAGCCATTTGTAAGCTACTTGAATTAATGTCTGTGTTTGATTTAATCTTTCAATCTCCAGTGCTGTGTACATGGCAAACACTTTATAAGTGTTTCTTTTTAAAGTTGATTCTTCCATTTTTTTCCCATCTGTAAATTGGGTGGTATTAAACTTACCCCTGAGGATTAATGAGATTGTACTCATTGTTTGCTATAGCAGTGTTTGGGGAGGATAATAGCATCATCATCATGCCAAATGGACTTAGCAGCCATATGCTATAGTGAAAAATATCATAAACTATGATGAGGGATTGCCAAGTGTGTGAGTGTGTGTGTGCATGCTTGTATTTATGGGGCAAGGAGAAAGGACTGGAATGTGGAGACCTTAAAGAGGCGAACTTTCCTATAAATAGATATCTAAATATTTTGTTAATGGAACATAAATTATGTTAGAATTGCTTTACTAACAGAACTCTCTTTTCCCTCCCCCTTTAGAAAAGCATTCACATTTCATGTCCAAAGGAGAATGCTTCTTCCAAATTCTTGGCACCATATACCACCTTTTCCAGAATTCATACAAAGAGTGTAAGTATCTGGCTGAAGAGAAGAATATGAAGGTATTGGAAGTTTTCATTTTTACTAGTGAGGTGTGGTGTAAATGTATTCATAATTAGTGAAGACTGATTCCTTTGCATTATAAAATGAAGCTGTTGATGGAAATAGAACATATTGGAGGAGAAAGAGTTCTGACTTGAGAGGCAGAGACCTGGGCTCTAGTTCTGATGTTGCTACTTACAAGCTATGTGCCCCTGGGGCCACTTCTCAGTGGCTCATTTCTAAAATGAGGGGTTTGGACTAGGAGACTTTCCTTCTTGTAGCTCTGAATTCTCTCATCCTAGATGACTTGTTCTGCTGTTCTCTGTGTTAGATGCCAAATGGTACTAAGGTCCAAAGCTGCCCCAGGCCAGATTGATAGCCTTCTTTGGGATAGTGATGGGAAGTAGGTTTGGCTGATGTGACTGAGATAAACAGTTCTAGCCTGGATTTGATTTCAGAGGCATCATCATTGCTTGCTTCTGAGCAGCCCAGGTATAAACTCCAACCAAGGCATACACCCTGCCATGCTACTGTGATGCATGGGAGGAGTAGCTTAGTTAAAGGCATCTAGAACGCTGGTGGTGAAAGCATTTGCCATAAAACTTGGAACAGCTGCTGTGACTGCCATAGACAACAGTATCATTTATCAAGGGGCCAACACCCTTTTCGTGTTCACCTTGGGCTAGTAATCTCTCACTAAGCTGTAGCTCTTCAAGGAAGAACTCCTGAGTAACTTCTCCATCTCTAAGGTCAGGTAACTTGGAATGCCCAGCTCTCTTTTTAGCAAGCTTCTGTTTTTTTCTTCACTCTCAGAGCCTGTTCTTGAATTTAGGGTCCCTCCCTCCATCTCTTGTGGTGGAAATAAATACATTAGCTGATAAAAGAAAGGCTCTGCACATGCCAGCAGCAATCATACCACTCTGATTCAACATATTTCTGGCTGCTGTTCACAGTGGTGTAGTACTGTTCCCCACTGACCTGAAGCTAGGCCTAATAGTATTTCTTGATAGTGTTCAGTATCTTATTCTATTTTACTCATATTTCCAGCCTTAGTTCCTGTTTTGGGTCTTTGTACTAAGGCTGGGCTGTCTTCTTCCTTCACTCTTGGAGAGGGTAGTCCTTGTTTAGTCCTAACCCTTGTTTCCTGATCTCCTGTTGCTAGCTTTTTCCTCCACTGGTGTGTCTGTGCTTAGAGCAATTGTGGGTTTCAAGCTAATGTGTATCATCACACATCAGAATACTGCAATCTTCATGCTAACCAGATATATATATTATAGGGTCAGAGCTCTGTCCTCTCATAGTCTGAACTCTCTCAGTTTTAAGTCTGAGCTCAAAATCTGGGTTTCCAATGCCCCTAGGGAATTCCCTATGAGAGCACTTTGGGCTTCCACAAGCCAGGCTTCGGCTGCCTGTGGAATATCACTGATCAGAGTGCTGATAGGCATCTAGCCTGTGTACGTACATGTATGCTGGTTTCCCTTGTGGGACCAACTTACCAGTGCTGCCTCCTGTCTTTTTGTGTACTCTGAGGCTGAATGAAGGAACTTTCTTTTCTTTGGATTTCTTGATTTTCTTTTCTGATGCCTTTCTGTTTATGTAAGAGAGCTAGGCTCCCCTATGACCTTATGTGTTGCCATCTTAACCAGAAGGCGTCTTTTCTTAATTTTTTTGAACATGTCATTTATCCATTTGTGCATGTCTCCTGGGATATCTTGTATGGTCTCTGGTTCCATTCTCAATGTTCTGGTACTTAAGTTGATTCAGTTACTCCTTAGCATTTTTGAATTGTAGGAACTTGGCCAGGGGTGGGGAACCTGCATTTGAGGGAGAGGTTGTAGTACTCTTGCACTAACATCTTGGTTCAGTCTGGAACTTGTATCTCAAATCACTGTACCTTTTGGTTCCTATGTCTGTTTCCTTACTTGGCAAGGAAATCAAGTTGTTTGCTGCTTGTGGGAGTTTCTGGGCCCTTCTCACTTCTTTATTGAGGCAGCTATTTTACGTTGATTAAACAACTCTAAAAAATGATGATAATCAGAGCCAGTGTTTACTTTTATCCATTTCCCATTTTTCAGACTCAACAGTGTGTTTAAAACATTCAGGTTAAAGTTGTAATTTCACACAATTTTGTGTTATTGCTACTCTTCTGCTTGTTTTCTTTGCATCAGTTAGGCACTAATCTGACTCTACACATCTGATTCTGAAATGATTCCCTTGTTGGTAGCCAGTCTCGGTTGTGTAGTCGGCTTTATTTTGTTGTGTAACTGTTGAGTGTCTGTGGCCTGATCTGAAGTTGTCTTCTCAACTATAGCTCCCACCCTCCATCCCCTCCACCTCAAGCACTCATATCATTATCCCTGATTTACAGATGAGAAAAGTGAAGCTCACAGAGATTAAGTGACTCACCCTTGTGACATGGCCAATAAGGACCTGAAGTGGCAGTTGAGCTCTGGCTTCTTTCAAGTCTATACTGGCTTTCTTTACACATTTCTTCTCAACTTGGGCCTCCTCGGCTCTTTTCATTCTGGTGTCTGTGGACTCAACTGAAACTGCTCTCTCCAGAGTTCTCGGTAATCTCTTAATGCCAAATCTGAAAGACTTTTCTCCATCCTCATCCTTCTTGACCAACTTGCTGCATTTGACACTGATGACCACTGTTTGTTTCCTCTTGGACATTCCCCTTTCTGTGTTTTTGTGACACTACTCTGCTGATTCTCCTATCTTTCTTTGCTGGCTCATTATGTCCTCTCTGACTATGGGCATACCCCAAGGTTCTATCCTGTGCTCACTTTCTCTCTCCCTCTCTCTCTCTCTCCCCCCCTCTCTCCCCCTCCCTCTCCCTCTTCCTCTGTAATCTAATCACTTCCCATAGGCTTAACAATCTTTTCTGTGCAGATGAGTCACAGTTCTGTATTTTAGTCCCAGTCTCGCTCCTGAGCTCTAGTCTCACATCACCAATTGTCTATTAGACTTTTCAAATTGGATAGCTGAGATGCATCTCAAACTCAGCAAGTCCAAAAATGAACTTATCTTTTTCATCAAACTCTCCTTTCTTTAGACTTCATTATTTCTATTCAAGTCACCACCGTCATTCCATTGTCTCAGGCTGTTAATCTCAAGTTAACCTCGGTTCATTCTCCTTACCCTGCGTATTAATCATTTGCCAAATACTACCTTTTATACCTCCACAACTTCTAGAATCTGGTCCTTCCTTTCTACTTACACAGCTATCACCTTTAATTCAGGCTCTCATCACCTCTTGCCTCAAGGGTTTCCCTTTCTCAAGTTTTCCCCCACTCTAGTCCTTCCTACACACTTCTGCCAGCGTGATTTTCCTTAAAAACAGATTTGACCACGTAGCTCCCCTATTCAACACCAGGGGCTCCTTATTACCTTTAGGAAAAAATATAAACTTTCTCCAAATTTTTAAAGTCATTCAGAACCCAGCATCATCCTATCTTTTTAGCCTTATTAAACATTACTCCCTTCCTCCCTGTGCTAGAAATTTGGTGAGTGTTTCTTTAAAAGGTATTGAAATGGTGGGGCAGCTAGGTGGTGCAGTGGAAAGAGCACTGGCCCTGGAGTCAGGAGGACTTGAGTTCGAATCTAGCCTCAGACACAAAACGTACTAGCTGTATGACCCTGGGCAAGTCACTTAACCTAACCCCCAACTATCTTGCCAAAAGAAAAAAAAAAGGGTATTGAAACTATCCTCAAAACTGATTGGCTAAGGGGATAAATTTTTGTTAACAAGCCAATTGTCTGTACTATCTTGCGTCTGGTACAATGGACCACTCATTGGGAGGTCCTTTTACTAAAATTGTATTGAGCAATTCTCAAGCATTCTAGAAGATAAAAACACATAAACACTGCAGGCAAGAAGGTTGAAAAAAAATCAGTCAGCAAGAGGGCCCTGAGGTCTTTGGAGCTTCCTGCCAAAATCTCAAAAACTGCTTTTATAATCCTCTTGCCTAAAGGGTACCCAGCTGGGCTCTAGATCAACCCATCCAGGGGCAAAATTAATCCCCAACTGCCCCAAGTCCACATAATAACTTCCTTGCTTGTAACAATTCTTGCTAATATTAGGGGATAAACAGGTTGGGGCAGGTTCCAGCCAGCAGGGCAGACCAGAAGTAGGGCCAGCAACAGGGGGTAGGGCCCTCTTTGCTGTCTTGGTGGTTCCCTCTTAGCTTTGTATGAGAAGGTGGGCTGTTGTGCTACTAAGTTGACTTTTGTGAACCTGGCAGGACTACTGCCTTTGATATTGGTGGCCAGGGGTTGGGGGAAGAGTGTTGTGGGCCTGAAACTGGAGAGGTGTGAATTAAGTCTCTACATCCTTACAACTTGAGCTGGATTGTTACAAGCAAGAAAGTTATGGTACAGACTTGGCATTTGTTTTAATTTTGCCCCTGGGTAGATTGATTTAGGACCCAGCTGGAGGCCCTTGGGCAAGATGAGTATAAAGTAATTTTTGAGATTTTGGCAGGAAGCTCCTGAGAGCTAGGGATCCTTTTGGCTTACTGCTTTTTTTAAAGTTTGTGCTTGAGGTTTAATCCTCTGAACTGTTTTTAAACTACCTTGAGAATTGCGTCGAACTGAGGGTACTGAAATATGATTTTAGTAAAAGGACCCTTTGTTTTTTAAACCTTCTGGCTGTGAGGGGTCACTTGTCCCTGATGCAGCATAGCAACCCCTGAAATTCCCTCTTTCATATTATGCATTCCAGCCAAACTGACTTTCTCTCTGTTCTTCACATGAAACTCCATCTCTCATCTCACTGCCTTTGCACTAGCCATCCCCCATGCCTGGAATGTCTTCCCCACCTTGGCCTCTTAGAATTCACTTCTTCCTTCAGGATGCAGCTCTGGGACCAGTATCTCCATGAAGCCTTCCCTGATTTCCTGACCAATAACTAGTGTCTTTCCTCCAAGATTAGCTTGTATTAAACTACTCTGTATTTGTTTGTAGTCACTCTTTTTATATTTATTTTTTATATATTTGAATGTCTTCACAGTAGGGATTGTTTCATTCATTGTATTTGTAGCCCTCAGGCCTATCCTGATGTCTGGCATGTAGTGTGCATTTAATTAATGCTTGTTGATTGATGAACTCTTTTTGCTACACCAGTAGAAAGGTTTGAGTTTTGAAGGATAATAGCAGAAGATTCAAAGCAATGGCCTAGACATTGGGGACTGGGGGATACAGCTGAACAAGAGAGTACAAGTGCAGATGTGATAGGATGTCTTTATGCTAAATTTGTTTAGATATTCTATCTCCATTATTCAGTCGTATGCTCCTTGAAAACAGACACTGGCTTATTTGCCATCTTTGTTTCCCTAGCACTGAGTTGTACATGCAGGTGGCACCTAATGAATGATTGCTAACTATTTGAGGAGGTGGCAGGATCCTCCCAAGCCCCTAGGAGCTGCCTGTGTATTAGGGGTTGATTAATAAGTGGGGAGAGGAGATTACAGTGGATACTTATGTGATTGACTTGATACAGCTTTGGAAGATATTGAAAGACCAAGGAAGACAATGTCCTGTGTCATGTGTGAAGGAACACATTAAAGTTTGTAACCTGAGGTGTTTTGTCTCTGAACAGATAACATGCCTGGACATTTCTAGTGGAGGAGGCCTTGGAGTATCCACCAGCACTGATGGAACCATGAAAATCTGGCAGGCAGCTAATGGAGAGCTCAGAGTAAGTGAATGGAGGGATTTTGGGGTCTTACCAAAGAGTAGTTTGAGAACCAGCTATTTATTGTTGCTGATAGTAGTGGCAACAGGATGAGGGGAGAGGATGTGGGGAGGGTGGCTTTACTTAGACCATACTCAAAGAATGCTGATTTAATGATCTTCAGTTGTAATAATAATAATAATAATTATAATGGGATCATAGGCTTAAGAGCTGAAAAGATCCTTTAAAAGAGGTCATCTGGGTCACCAAACTTAATTTTATGGATAATGAAACTAAGGCCCAGGGTAAAATGAACTAACCAAAGTCACACAAATAATAAGTACCAGAGCTAGGAATCAATCCCAGCTCTTGTCTCCTAATTCAGTTTTGTATCCACTTTACTATACTTCTTCATAATGATGGGTCATATTTATATAGTACATGAAGGTTTACAGAGCACTGTCTTTACTCACAATATCCCTGTGAGGTAAGTAATGCAGATATTATCATACTTATTTTATAGGTAAGGAACTGAAGGCTCAGAGAAGTTAAGGGATTTGCTCAAGGCTTCATGTCCATCCATTGTTTGCTCCAGGATACAGACCCAGATATTCTATCTTAAATTCACATATTCTGTCTCCCACTCTAGCCTTCTTTCCATGATAACATATTCTCTCTGAAAGAATTTCAATGGAGTCTTCTTTCTCGTTTATTAGACTGAAAAGCTTCTTAATGGACATGTTATGGTCTGTCAGATATAAAGTGGGTTAGGGGCATGCAGGAACAGCACTAGAAAATGAATAAATGAAAAGCCTCTTGGTTATGAGCACCTTTTAGCTGTTGGGTTTTGTGACCACTGTACTGTCCTGGCCATGTCACATGGGCTTAAGCCAAGCATTCCTACCTGAGAGTATCTGGTTAAAAGGAATCCCAAGTCCCTGGGGCAGCTAGGTGGCACAGTGGATAGAGCTCCAGCCTTGAGTTCAAATTTGGCCTGAGATGCTTGGCACTTAATAGCTGTGTGACCCTAGGCAAATCACTTAACCCCATTGCCTCATCAAAAAAAAAAAAAGGAATCCCAAGTCTCAGTAGCTCTTTACACTTAGAATCAGCCCTGGAGGCAGCGTTAATATCAAGATTCTTCCTTAAGTACTTCAAGGGTGCCTAATTCCATCAGTATGAATATTCCTTCCATTAGAGCAGATTGAAGTTCTTCTTTGACTTAGTTGGCAGATTGATATGTGGACCTTAAGAAATATATTACCCTGTGGCTTACCTGGTGAAGAGTCTCCTCTGCCTTAGCTCAGCAGGTCCTAAGAGGCACCTAGACTGTTGCTGGGCCTGTCCTCAGAGCCTTTCCTGCTTGGTGGGAGGTGTTAGAACTTGCACTGTGCTCACATGACCTTTGTGAATCTGTCCAGGTGTGCAGAGGGGACTCAGATGGAAGCACATCAGGATAAAAAATTAAAATTGATGACATCCAATATCAGAGGCCAAGGAAGCAAGCTGTCAGTCCCCTCCATTCTCATGGTTTAGAAAGATGAACCAAAGGTGCCTCAGATATCTAGAATTTAATACTTTCCCTTCTTCAATGGGTCTGTTATTTTTATTTCCATATGGATGTTGGGGGTAAGAAAATACTAAAGGATAGACAAGAGAACTAGCATGGCATTTTCTTTTGTTTTTCCAGAGAGTACTGGAAGGACATGTATTTGATGTGAATTGTTGCAGGTTTTTCCCCTCAGGCCTTGTGGTTCTGAGTGGGGGAATGGATGCACAGGTGAAGATTTGGTCAGCAGAAGACGCCAACTGCGTGGTGACCTTCATTGGTCACAAAGGAGGTATGATGGATGGTTCTTCCAGATGCTTCACTTAGGGCGCCCAGTGACACAGCGTGATTTAGAAACAATTTTTTTCTCTTTTGCCCTGAAACAAACAATCTCTGATGGAGTGACGACAGCCTGTGGTTTGCAGTAGGAGATCCTAGGTTTGAATCAGGCCTCTGCTACTCATTACTGATATGAACATAAATAGCTTCTTTTTGCTTTCTGGGCCTTGTTTCCTTGTTTATTGAGGGGGAGAGGAATTTATGATCCTTTTATTTGTGTTTTTAGTAATAAAATATATATAGGGTCTTTGCAGAGAGTTCCCAAGTATATACAAATATATACTGAGGCAACGCTGAGGCCTCATAGGTTGTACTGGGAGCAGATTGAGCATCTTGACCTGCTTTCCAGGCTAGCTTTCTTCACCGAAGGTTATACTGAAATATATATTATTGAATACATATAAATCTATGCCGAGAGGTTGTTAATAATTCAAACTGATGTCAAAAATGTACTATAATAAATTTGGGAAATCATTATATGCTTTACATCCAACTAAAACAGAAAGGACTTTTTCAAATGAAAATATTTTAGTTGGGACAGCACTCTAGATAGAAAAGAAATTCTAAACAACTAGTCAATTTAATATGTGAATGTTGTGGCAGTAACCAGTGCCCAATAAGATACTTTATAGGAGACAAAACCAAAAGGAATCTAAGTGATAATAAAGTGAAAAACTAAACTTGTTTTAAAAAAGCACCATTCTTAGTTTATCAAAGCAATATGCATTTCAGAAAATGTATGGAAATAATATTTTATAAAACTATACGTAGAAAAAACTTTGGCTAGGTTTGTAGTCAGTCATTCAATTTTAATTTATTAAGTATTTACTGTGTATCAGGCATTGTCCTAAGTATTGGGAATACAAAGAAAGGCAAAAGACTGTTCCTACTCTCAAGTTACTCACAGTCGAATGGCATGCAAACAGCTGTGTACAAGCAAGGATAAAATGGAGATCTCAACAAAGAGAAGACACTAGAATTAAAGTGGATCAAGAAAGGCTTTCTGAAAAAATTGGGAATTTGGCTGGGACTTGAAGGAAGCCAGAATTCCTGGCATTGAGGACACTGGTGAAAATGCCTGGAATTGAGAAATGGATTGTCTTGTGAAAAGAATAGCTGTGAGGCCAGTGTCACTGGATCACACAGTAGATTAAGGGAGCATGAAGTGTGGGGGAACTGGAAAGGTAAGGGGGGAGGTAGGTTATGGAGGTATTTGAATGCTAAACAGAGGGTTTAGGGGCAGCTAGGTGGCACAGTGGATAGAGCACCAGCCCTGAAGTCAAGAGGACCTGAGTTCAAATCTGGTCTCAGACCAAACACTTAACAGTTACTAGCTGTGTGACCCTGGGCAAGTCACTTAGCCCCAATTGCCTAATAAATAAATAAATGAACAGATGGTTTATACTTGATCCTGGAAGTGATAGGGAGAAAATGGAATTGATGATTAGGGGGAGAAGGTGACATGATCAGAACTATGCTCTGCAAAGATATTTTTCAGCTTCTATTAACATTACAAAGAAGATAATTGTTAGTTTACTCTCTTTGCATGAAGACAGCAAAAGAGTCATATTTCATCCATGGGTACAGGAATTTTAGCTGATGCCTGTTAATCTCAAATTAACCTCAGTTCATTAGGTTTGCGAATGGTCTTTGAGTTATTGCTATAGGTTTTTTATGCTGTATGTTAATATTTTCTAGTATCTGTTGCAAGTGCCTAATCTTTCCCAAATGCTTCTAAGTTAGTCCTTCTTTTCTCTAATTCATTTATTACCTCTGAAACATCTTTGATAACTTGCTCTGGCTTCTGAACAGACAGTTGTAATCTTTTCTGCAAGAAAAAGCATTGTCTTGCAGTATCTAGAAAATTCTGAATTCATTGACTAATACCCTTTCAAATTTCTTTCTTATCCATGCTGTTAACATAGTCCTGCCTCACCAGGTTGCAAAACAAACTTTAGAAGATGCTTCCAGCTTTTGAGCTAAGGAGGTGTTCAGGTTGCTTGCCTGAGATCCCAAGGACTCATAAGAGCAGAGGCAGTGGAAAAGGACCCAGCTGCTGCACATCCTTGCCAAAGAAGATGTCACCTCGGGGCTGCCTTTTCTGTTGAACTAGGCTATCTCTACCAGTTCTACATCTTATGAGCTGACCTATTAGGCTGGGAGTCATTTTGCCAGGGAGTTTGAAATACATGTCATTGACCCCAACGTTCACTTCTTATAAAAGTCCTCCTGAATCCTTGGGAGGATGTAATTAGCAGAGAATATCTTCAGAAAGTCGTTTACTTCTATGCTAGAGAAAAAGGGGCTTGGCTATATTACTGTACTGAGAGTGCAGTCAAACTTGGCATTTTGAATACCAATGATTGTTAGGACCTCATCGACAATCAAGTCCAACCCCTTAATTTTACAGACCAGAAAACTAAAGTCCAGAGAGGGAAGAATAACTGGCCAAGTGTCTCACAGAGATTCAGAACAGAATCAGGATAAGGATTCAGGCCTCCTGGCTTCTTATTGTCCTGTACTCATCTCAATGCACCATACTGCCTAGGGAGTAATTACATTTTCCAAGGAGTAAATATTTATTCTAACTATATGCATACAGATTTTAATTGTCCACAGTATACTTCAGTGGATGATGTTATAGCTGTGCATACAGATTACAACCACTCCAAGATTTTTATCTGATTGATGCTTGTTTATGTCTTGGCAGAAATCCACTACAAAGGAGCCACCCAGCCTGCTAGAGGTCTTCCATATGTTCTTTTAATATTCACTGGACCACTAGTCCTGCTTCCAGCCTGTCCTATAGCTGTCCTCCAAGGGAACAAATCTCATAGAGAGGTGATCTTCCCATCTTGTCCGTAGGGGCTGCAGCTCGTGCCTTCTTAGCAGCCACAGCTCCAGGAGAGATCTCACCACTGTGGTCCTTGGTGCCTGCTTTGTTAGAGTCAGAAATGAATATGTTTTTATCAGTGGGAATGACCTTAAAGAGGATGTTTTGCAGCTGTGACCTAGGGACTGCTCAGCCTTTCCAGCTAACTCATAGCAGAAACCTCGTATTTATTTTGCCTTCTCCATTATAGGATGTGAGCTCCTGAAGAGCAGGAATTCTCTTGCTTTTCTGTTTGTATCCCCAGCATGCTTAGCCCAGTGCTTTGCATACAGTAAGCACTTAATAACTGCTTTTTCATTCATTCATGCCTCTCTCAGGAGGGCAGTCCATCTGTCATTCCTTACTCTCACTACGTGACCAACCTATCTCCTTTTGCACTCCTGTGTGATTGCTGATGTCTTCTAATAGCTGACATAAATGTAGCCCTTGAGAGTTTACAAAGTGCTTCACATACACCCTCTCATTTTAGCCTCATGACCATCCTTCGTGGTAAGTACTACAGGTGTTGTTATCCCCAATTTAAAGACAGGGAAGTTGAAGCTCAGCGAGGTTATGACCTCAGGTCTTCCTGATTCCGAGTTCAGTATGATCCCCTCCGTTAGTGCTGGGGCCCAAGTCAGCATTGTTGTAGATTGCTTACACTCATGGCTTTCTGTTGCTTTTTTGGTATATGTGCAGTGTAGCGCTGTACCAACTGATACCTGGTAAAGACAGTGTCCCTTTTGCTCATTACCTAAGGCTTTGTTTGAAGAAATAACTTAGGAGGCTATTAGCCTTTCTCAGGGACTGTTAGCACATTATAGGTATGATAAAGGTTGCCATGCATTTGCTTCTCTCCTCAGAGTTGTTGTCACCCCCTTAGCATGTTAACTTTCTTTGTCAGGAGATACTTTATATTTGACCAGTCTCTGAATTCAAAGTACTCTTTGTCTATAGGACCCACTTAATAATACACTACCTTGCATTTTTGTCTTTATTACTGTTTAATTTTTTATGCATTTATGTCTTGTTTGAAGGAAGGAAGATGCATCTTCTTTGAATCACTGTTGGTACCTTACATATTTAATGATGATGATGACACCTGTATAATATATAAAATTAACTTGCAGAAAACTTGACAGGTTTGGGTTTTGGTTTTTTTTGGGGGGACAACCTTTTCCTATACCTAATTCATTTGAAATTACCGAGGGTTGTGAAAAGGGAAAACAATTGTTATTATAGACTGAGGTTTTAGAGATGTTGAATGACAATACAAGATGAGCAGCAACTGAGCATAGTGGATAATGATCTAGGCTTAGAGTCAGGAAGATCTGGGTTCAAGTAGAGCCAGGGACACATGATGTCCAGGGGTGGGGAACCTGTGCCACATGTGCACTCCTGTGTGATTGCTGATGTCTTCTAATAGCTGACATAAATG